GATGTGAGAGAGAGACATTGATCAGCTGCCTCCTGCATGTCTCCTACAGGATCGAGCCCGCGGCCCGGGCATGAGCTTTGACCAGAAATCAAACTGACAACCTTTTGGTACACAGGACGAGACCCAACAGAGCCACACCAGCCAGGGCTGCCACAGCTATTTAAAGACAGAGACCACGGAAACATTGGATTTGGACTCAGGAACCTGCCGGCAGGTGTTTTTCCTGCCACTGCCATTTAACTTCCCTTTTGAGCTCAGATAAGTGACTCCAATCCCTGCCTGTCAGCTTCCTGTTCTATAGCTGAAATGACATGGGTCCAAGTACATACACGAAACCACCAACCACAAAGATCCTGTGAGCTGGGCTTGTTTCTATCCTGCCTGAGTTACTGTGGAGGACAATGGAGGGGTGTCTCAGAGCCACAGAGTCAGCATCTGTGCTCCTCCCTGGGCTGAGCTGGAGCCAGGGCTCCAAAGAAACACAGCTGTGTGGCCCAGCTCCACCCCGGTCCCTCCCAGGATGATGGAGGGGTCAGAGGTCTATCCTCTCTGCCTCGGATGTGCTGTGGACACATCCCTCATCTGCTGTCCTCAGGAAAATGGGAACAAAGCTCCCAGCCCTGTACTTGGATCCTGGGCTTGCTCGAGAGCCAAATGCCCTTCAACATGTGGGCAATACGTGGCTAGGCCTGGTAAAGACGGGGAAAAGTAATAAAATGCAGACAAGTGCAGTGGGGGAGTGTTGGGTGTTTGGCAAAATGTGGAAAGAAAGCATTCCCAGGAAGTTAATGGGAAGAAGTCTTGGTGTCAAAAGGTGATGTTAATACTCTTGTTGGAAATTCCAGAATAAACTCATCTGAGAGGCTTTGAGAAAGCAGGTGTAGCAACAACAAAAGCCAGCTGCCCCCAATCAACAAACTTCTTTTGCATTTTTTTTCCAGATCTGGGGCAAAAAGTAAAGAAGTGAAGAAATAAATCAATTTTATGGTTAATATTCTGGCAAGGACAAAAGTTTTCCAGGTTTCTGATCAGTTCCCACCCACCTTCCTTCTTTCCTTCAGTACTTCTCAGTGTTGTTGAGAGGACTGAATGAAATGATGTTTGCTCTCATCTACTGAGTGCTTACCATATGTCAAGCACTTTTAGAAGCATTTAAATATATTTTAATTCATTAAACACCCAAAATAACTTTACAAGAGGTTGTTCTTATGTCTCCCATTTTACAGATGAGGAAACAGAGGCCCAGAGACGTTAAGCAGCTTGTCCAACGTTGCACTGCTGGTAAGACACACTACAGTGTGTTTATGTACACTGAGGACTTTATAGAGTACCTAGTGCCTGTAGGTGCTCAATAAACAGGGCTCTCTTCCCTTTCATTAAACAAGACAACTTTACTTCTACCCCATACTGTGCAGTTAATGCTTCTGGCCACGTTGCCATTTTTTGAGAAGAACAATTTGTTTTACACTCTAAATAGCTCTCTGGGTGCAATGATCCTCCTCTCAAAGGCTGGTCTCTCGTGGCTAAAGCTACCCATCTCCCAGCCAAGGGTTCTGGGAAATTCACTAGACTCCCTCACCCTGACCGCGATAATAGCATTAGTAAGGCTATAACCGTAGGAGCAGTATATGTGGCCACTAGATGGTTCTTCTAACTTCATAAATATTCTACTGTGTCTTTTCACTACCCTTAAGAGTGCTTTCATTATTGGAGTTGGCTAGCCAGAGGCACTGAAATGTTCCACTGGTCTCCTATGGGAGGCATCAAAAAATATTTTTTTTAGCTTCACTGCCATAGTCTATATTTCTTTTTCTTTAACCTAATCACATGTGATGCATTCTTAGGTACTGCGAGTATTCCGACAGACAAAACAAGACATAGTTGCATCATTTTTCAAATGGAATGCTCAGTCCTGTTTAACGGAAACTATACGGCTTCATCTCCATCCCTGGACATTTTTGGAAATGGCGTGTTTTGGAACTAGGCTCAAGACCATTCCTGATTGTGGGCTTTTAATTGAAGAGTTGATTGTTTTAGGAGACAACAGGCCTGCCAGGATTTATGCTCTCTGGAGAAAAAAACAAAAACATCCATGAGTCCCAGTCATAGACAGAATTTCCTGGCTCGATCCCCGGCCACTCTAGGTGACTCGATCATCCTGGATGTCTTTCCCTCTGTCTTCTCAAAGACAACGGCTTCTCAGCCTGGTGGGAACTTGGCTGCTTCCAGCACAATACCTTGCACTGCACCATCCACCCAGTCATTGGAGGGATCTTTCTCTGCTGCCCCTTTGCTTCAACTTTTCAGTACAGTAAGTCACAGCTAACGTGAGAGCTGGGTTCTAGAGACAGCATGAAAGGCAAAAATTGTGTCCAAATGGCCCTCGAGAAGCCCTTGTGGAGGCACCAGGGTGGAGATCAACACATCTCTCCTAAGTCCAGCCCTGCCGAGGGTGCTCCTGCACCGAGACAAAGGCCACTCTGTGGTCCTTAGCCAGGGATACAGGAACTAAGATGGATGGAGAGAGTAGTTGACTCAGAACTCCGGCTGGAACATATTTTCACCGCATGGAATCGAAGACCAAGTGACCCACGCCAGCCTCTCCTTCTCTCTCTTCCCCTCCGTCCCTCCCCTCCTTTTTTTCTCCCCCCTCCCTCTCTCTCCCCCAACCTCCAATCTCCTCCTCTCTATGTTCTCCTGACCACCTCCAGACCCTGAAGGTTTTCATGGGAACCCTGCTCTCCACACCTCCATTGCTCTGCTCACATTTTCCCTCTGCCCAGAATGCCTGGATCCTCCTTGTTCCCCTTAATTCCTCTTCTTGGAAGCTGCTTCCATGGCCCTGTAATGACACACCCACCTCTCTTAAGCACTGAACAGTTTTCCTTATGTGGTAGGGTAGACAGCATTATTGGTCCCAATTCTCCATCCCTTCTATACTTGGGCCCTTGACTGTGCCTTTCAGTGAGTTCCTCTCACTGAAAAGGAGAGCATATTTTGGTTAGAGCATATTTTCCTGTCCCTTGACTATGAGTTTGGCCATGGACTTGTTGTAACCAATAGAATAGGCTGAAGTAAGAATGCACAGTTCTGAGCCTAGGCCTCAAGAGTTGCTAAATGTTCCTGCTTGTCCTCTAGGATCGTTGCCATAGCAGGAGAAAATGCCCAGGCTAGCCCACTGGTTCCAGCAGGACAGTGAAAGACACATGAGGCAGAGCCGAACTGGGTTGCCCGCATCTGGCTGCGATCAACCCACCGTCTGTTGAACTGCAGATGCATGTTGAATCTAAGATCCAGCTGAATCCAGCCAACCCTCAGCTGACCCACAGACCTTGAGACTGAGTGACTGCTGTTTCAAACCACTGAGTTTTGAGGTGGTTTGTTACACAGCATGTTTTGTGGCTACGGCTAGCTGATACATTATTGATTACTGGGCCCACAGAGCCAAAATGGTTCAGACCAACAGGCTTAAGAGGCAAAGCTGTGGAAGTAGAGGCAGCTTTAGCCATAAGGTACCTTACTGATCATGAGCCTTGGGCTTTACATCTTGATATATGAGAAGCACAATCAACAGAGAGAGATTTCACCATCCATTACTGGGCAGCAAGAACGTCGGGACTTTCCTCACCTAATATTTAACCTTGGAACAGTGAGCATTTCCCCACCACATGAACTTATCCATAATCCAAACTAAATGGCCCACATTTACAGTCTGCCTCAAGACAAAACAAATCCATATATTTTGTTTCCTGTTAGTTTTTCCCCTAAAACACTTTTTGGAAGACCTATTTAAAACTAAAAGTAATGACCCGATAATTTATGAACCTTCTTTAGATTTGGTTTCTTTAATAATCCCAAGAGGTCCTTCCTACTAAGTTAAAAATTTCCCAGATCCACTTCATCAGGTTGAAGTAATTTTCTAAGCTTGGCAAAACATGTGATACTTTAATCTACCACTCTTGGTCCTAACTAAAAGTAATGCTAATTAATATTTAAGTGGTTTGGAGGAGTATTTGTGTGTGTGTGTTGGGGGGATTACATCACCTTTCACCCAATAAATGCAAACAAAAGATAAAGAATCTCTGTATTACTTTCCTTTGATGAATAATGCATTTATCATCATGAGTGTCCTAGTGTGGTGACTGGTTCATGAGGGGGATATTTTTTTCATTCCGCCCACACTTAATTTTCACAGATACAAATAAGGGACAGAGTATGCATTTCAGAGAATAACTATCAGGACAGATGAGGATTTTTGAGAAATGGTAATAAATCATATGGAAGGGCTTTCTGGCCCCAAGGCTAAAACAATCTCTCAGAAGGAACTGTCTGGAAAGGAAACCATTCTCTGAAGTGTGGCTAAGTGATTCGGGGCCAGTGCCTTCATCCTAAAAGAAGTCTGAAATACAGGGTTGGCCAAGAGGAAACAGGAGGCCTATGTGCGGTTCACCTTTAGCCTGGGGGATCGCGGGCTGTGGGAGGAAACCCTGACACAATAGAGACTGGCTGCTCTCTTGGATCCGGATCGCCTGCCCCCTCCTGCTACGGAACCACTAACTGTTGTTAAAGTAGACATCACTGCTAAGTATGGGGGGGGGGGGCAATAAAAAGAACCTTTATATAATGATCAGTCCAATCACAGGAATTGTCCTAAACAGTTAAATATTGGCAGCTTCATATGGTTCATATGGTTCAACTTAATACAGTGAGTAAACATAAAATACCCACACACACATACACAAATACTCCCAGAAATTAGAAATATAGGCTAAATTGTGAGATATGTGGAATTGCAAACAAAAACCAAACTATTCCCCCAAAATAATAGCTGTTGTTAAAATTATTGTATAACGTACATTTTTTAAACCACAAAATATCATTGCAACCCACCACCTCTATTTACCCTCTTGGGTGGGGAAATCTGCACATTCAGGCTTTGGGCCTGGAGTCAAGACAAAGGAACTTTCCAGGGCAATGTGGCGAAAGGGGCACTGACTCACCTGGATAGCAGCAGTTGACCCTGAAGCTGCAGGTCAGCAGCACAGTCCTCAGAATGGCAATTCCTTTCAAAAACAGTCTGTGGGAGATACAACAGGAAAGTTGGAACCAGATTTAATGGCAAATGACTGAACAACAGCCAAATACTTTCTTCCAAACCAACAGGAATTCTTCCATGAGCCCTTCAAGCCCTCTACTCCTCAGAAGCCAGCTCCCAGCATGGTGAGGGGTCCTTCTCAGGCTCTAAGGAAACCCACATCAGTGGCGGTCTTGCCTGCAGTGTGTTCCTTACTGGGCTCATTTTTCAGTCTGTTCGAGGGCTCCTTCGAGTAGTTTTCTTAAGAAGGGTACAAGATAGGAGTCCTTTCCATCTCTGAGAATATCTCTAAATGCCCTCAGGTGAGTGAATAATAACCAATTGAGTAAAGAATTCTTAAATTACTGTCCTGTCACTTCCCTCTGTTTGCTGCCTTGGGGAGGCAGCAAATCTCTATTTGAGATGGATTCTGCCTGATCAATGGGATCACACTATAATTTTTAGTTCCGAAGAGCAAAGTCAAAGGCAATTAGACTATTGGGCTGAGGGGACCACAAAAGGGCCAAAGGGATCCTCTCCTGTGTCTCGGGGGGGCAGCGAGTGGTGAACAGGGACTCCCAGCAGAGCGAAGGCTTGGCCTCCGGCCTGTCTCACTCACTCCCGCCCACTGCAAAATGCCTGGGACCCATTAGTAAGCCTGCACTTACCATGCCATAGTCACTGTCTCCAAGTTATATACACTGTGCAGCTATCCCACCAGGACAAGACCATCACTGGGGGCAGACCCTAACTCTACAAGACCACCATGATTTAATCCACTCCAGGGCACGATCCAACATGGGCTCGGAGCCTTTGAGTTGAAGAAATTAAGGCATTTAAGTCCTAATGTAAGTCCTAATGTTATCTGGCCACCTGACTTAAAGAGCCCCAATGGAAGAAGTGAACTGCTCTGTGTGGAGCTACCATATACGCATACAAAGGTTAAAAACCAGCTCTGCTTCCTGGGGTGGGCCTCGCTCTCACTCTCAGAATCACTCTTCCCCTCAAACTGAGCCAACATCTGGAGGACACATGGAGGGAGGTAATTAAATTATCTTTTAAAACAATATATTAATCAGGAAAAGGAAAACAGGCAAGGATCACTCTCCCACAATTTTTCTCAGGCTCCTGGACAATCTTCCCAATCTAAGGGCAGTGTTTTTCTTGCATTTTAACTTCAACCAAAGAATCACAGGGTTAAAACAAAAATAATGACACCGCCACACACCTCTCTACTGAGTTCCTGCCCTCCAGGGACAACCACTATTACCCACATCTACTTTATGTTTCATTTCATGATTATTTCCATCTCTCTCAAAAAATATCCTGGTACTACCACTTCTTGACTTATCAGATTTAGATTATCTCACTTATATAATGGCCCCTCCCATCCGCCTTCCTAATTTTAACAGGCAAATCATTACTCTTAGCTTTTCTGCTACAGTGATTCTCAAATACGAGCTGCATCAGAATCACTGGTCAGCTTCTTAAAACACAGGACACAGTACATCAACATCTAATTCAATGGGCCTGGGGTGGTGGTAGAGCATTTTCATTTCTCCTAAGATCCCGAGAGGGGTTGATGCTGCTGACTGAGTGACCACACTTGAAGCAGCACTGGGACCTGTGCAATTTTAGGTAACAAACAACTATTTCTGGTTTCATCAAGTTTTATAATACCTGTTGGCTCACCAATTTAAACAATTAAGAGATTGAGGGAATGTCTGTAGAGCTACTTTTACCTCTATCCAGTCAAATATAATGATATTTATACTTTATACTATAACCATAGTATACAGGATTGGTTGTAAATAATGAAAACCAATAAACAGTGCTAATGTTATTACGGCCACATGATTATTGCTCAGAGTAGAGCCAGTAAGCATGTCATGATTACACATCCTCCTCTCCAGGGTCAAAGTTAAACTCCTAGAATACTCAACTTTTACTTAAGGGAGACTATTTCTAGGTCCTTTTCTTCCTTATACTCTTCTTCTTTCTTAAAATCTCACCACATTTTAATTTGTTTTATTTTTGAACTATGACATATTGACCATATTTCTGTTTTTCCAGGAGTTTTTGATTGCCTTTATTTTTTTAATCCATAGAAAAACTATATTTCATCAACACTGTATCCTGAATATCTGCTGCTTTCTGATCCTGTCTATTGCTGGCTTCATTCTTCTTGAAGTTCCCTGACTCCCCCGTTCTAAATTGGTCAATTGTTTTTAGATTTGCTGCACAGCTGTAACCCTGAATTTCTCATCGTCAGATTTCTGGGGGCTAGTTCCATAGTTTCTTGTATCCCATGTTTTTGTTCCTTCTGTCTCCCCTGTTTTGTTAGAGCACATCTCAGGTAATTTCCTGGGAAGGTTACTAGGGAAATAAACTTTCTGGATCCTTGCTTGTCTGAAAAGTTATTTTGACCTCATACTTGACTGTTAGGCTATGTATGAAATTCTAGCTGCGAAATCACTTTCTCTCAGAACTTTGAGAGCCTTACTTCACCATATCCTGGCTTCCAATCTTGCTAATAAGGAGTCTGGTGGGCTACACAGTATGACTCTAACTCTGCTGTGAGCTGACATACATCCCCCAGTATCGTCAGCCTGTACTCCCTGTCCTGGAAGCATTTAGAATTCTCCTTACATCTTAGGAGTAGTGATATTTCAAAATGAGTTATCTAGGATATTTTCAGTTTATCTTGCTTGTAAGTCAGTGGGTCCTTTAAATTAAAAAAATATCTTTAACACTGGGGAATTTTTATTCCATTGTCTCTCTCATAATTTCTTCCTCATTTTCTCTGTTTACTTTCCTGATATTCCAGTTACTCGGATATGGGATCTTGTAGATTAATTCTTTACTCTTTTTTCTATCTGCTTTTGTCTGCTTGCTGGGAGATTTCTTACCATTATCTTCTAGTCCTTCTACTAAGTTTTTGGCTGTGTAACCATATTATTAATTTTCAAGAACCTTTCCTTGTTCTCTGATTCTTCCCTTTCAAAATAAATAGAATTTCAACCATTTTACAGTGGATGATATATATTCTTAAATCTCCTTATGTATATTAACAGAGCTTAAGTTGGTTTTACATTTTTTTATAATTGCTTCTATACCCTGAACAGTTTATTTTCCTCTAATCAGTTGCTCTGTAGGTTTATTTATTCTTTCTTTCATGTACCACATTTCACCCTAGTCTCAGGTTACCCTGATTGTTCATTCATATTTAAGAACAGGTAAAAGGGCTGACTGGGAAACTTGTGGGAGTATTTGGGTGGATGGTGGGAGCGGAAGCTAGCTCATGCATTTGGAGAAGTGCCAGAGGTAAGGCTTTCCTGGGGGCACCACACTATCTCTCAAGCAGTTTACTCAAGTCTCCTTTTTTATTTAATCCTTACTTGAAGACATGCTTACAGAGAGGAAGGGAGAGGGAGAGGGAGAGTCCCCTTGCCTCAAGCAGAGGACATCTCTGGTGTAATTTATGCTCTAGAGTTTCCCACCTAGGGCTAAGGCTAGACTGGAGCTGAGATCAATCCTCGCTCAGCCCCCTCCCCTCCTTCATTCCCTCCCAGGTTTCTCCCAGGACCACAGCCTCATTAAACCAGGTGCTCCAAACCCATCTCAGGCTCGGTTTCTGGGGAACCCGACCCAAGACCACACGGAAGAGACTTTGGGAGAAAATAGGGATGACTTTGTGGAAAAAAAAAAAGGGGGGATCACCACTTAATTGAACATCTGGCTGGACATCTTGAACCCCAAACACTTCTCTGTAGTTCTGTTTACAGCTCTAATAAGCAAGCTGTGGGCCACTGGTCTGCTTGTTTTCCCATAATCTCAGAGAGTGGTGGAGGGTGGGGCTGGTGCATGGTTCTACAGCTTTGCCCCCTCCCTACACAGAAGTCTGGTTTAGCCCAAAAGATAGCTTTGTCTGACCTTCCCTAGGGTTCTGGGTCTGTGCAATCTTGGGTGTTAAAACAGGCTTGGGATCCCAGGTTCCTTACACATTTCCTGATCAGCAGTCAGTACTGCTCATCTCCAGATGGCTCAGGGCAGACAGGCCAGGGCTGCTGTGCAGAATGAGCTCACAGGCTCACTTCGGCCCTGTATGGCCTCACATGGCCTCCACACAAGCGGCACATCGTGGAATCTGATGAGTGTCACATGGGGTGGGTGGCCCCCCCACACTCACAGTGCTCCGGCTCCCAGAGACACCTGGGTTGGGCATTTTTAATTCAACCACCAATTCTAGCAAGATGAAGTTCTTGCTTCTCTACCCCACTTGCTCCCCCATCAATAAAACACTGATTAAGCACCTACTATGTGCAGATCTAAGCTCTGGAAACAGTCTAGGAACAGGGCACAAGTTCAGGGACCAAGTGGTCAGTTCATGACCTTGAAGGGGATTATAATTTCCTAATTGCTTGAGAATGGCCTCAATGTGTTTCAATCACGTGGTTGTTAGAAGCAACACTGAGAATCATAAATTTCATCACTGTGCAGGTCAGGAACGGGAGGCCCAGAGAAGGGGGTGAGCCTTGGCCTTGGTTCCAAGGACAGCCAGGACCGTGACTCCTGCCATATACACCTGCTCCCTCGGGGCCCAGTTGCGGGCTTTAAGGTTCTGACCTGATTCTTCTGGGCGATCTTTTGTCCCTTTTTCCAGCGGAGCACAGGTGTCAGAGCCGGCAGCTCCCTCTCCTCCTGTCCTGTCACATGCTCCCCCAGGCTGTAGGCGGCTTCGAACACGATGGGACTGATGACGTCCTGCACCCTCCGCTGCAAGAAACAAATGCGCGTGAACTGGGAATACCGGCCGACGCCTATGGCGTTTCGCAGGTACCAAGACCGCCACGTGAACCGCCTCACACGACCCTCGCCACCGCCGCTGCGAGGCAGGATTTGATAATCCTCATATTTTGATGAGGTCACCGAGGCCGAGAACAATTCAGGTCTCGTCCGAGGTCACTCTGCTAATGAGCGGGGCCCCTGCGCTCTACCCTGCGTGGTGCTCCATCGTCTCCCCTTTAGCATCTGGAAGGCATTACCTGACTCATCTTCCAAATATGCCTGTGAGCCCGGGGCGGGCAGGGGAGCATTTGCACGCACCCCGCAGCGCTCGCCCCTCGCCTCCGTGCCGCTGGGCTGATGAAAGCTTCTCTGCACTGAGATAAATGTGGATCGTGTGTGAGAAAAGGACACTGAGGGGCCCCGCGTCTTCCCCAGGCTGCCCGTCAGTGGCGCTGGAAGAAAAATCTGACTTCGGGCCTTGTGTTCTTTCCTTGGGAACCCAAGGACCTTAAGACCCGAGGGAAGGATAGGTTGACAGTCACATCAGGAAAGCAGAGAAAGGAAAGGGACGCAAGCGGGCATACGAGCACACCTAGGAGATGCCAAGTGCGGTGCTAGGTGTTCTCGAGAGATGGGCAACACTGTCGCCCAAACCCTGTGAGCCAGGGCTCATCACCCTCCGTGGTGCAATACCAGGGAAATAGCAGTGCAAGCCTGAGTATCCAGGACACAAGGCTAAGAGGAGTTTTGAATCACATCTGGTCAAGCCTGGAGTTGTTGGCCTTTCCGTACAAGGTGTCACTGTCTCCCAGGGACTGTGGGCTCCCAGGCTCACAAGTTAGAGTCAGAGAAGGAAAGGGTAGGTAACCCTACATTCTTGGCCAGGATGCTCTGCGGGAGGTAGGTTTCCAGGTAGAGTAGAGCAAGCCTGAGAAGCGGCACCAATGAGCCAAGTCCCCATTGCTTCTGTCACGGGAGAGACGGGTTGGGAAGGGAGCCGGCAGGAAGCAGGAGTAGCCCAGTCAGGGCGGGAGAGAAGCTGGATGTCCAGCTGGCAGGCAGAGGCCAGCCACAGGCTGAAGGACTTCATGCTGCTCTGTGTAAAGTTTGGAGCAGATCAGTGCTGTGTTCACAATTATAGAAAATTCAGCCTGGTCAGCATGGCTCCGTGGTTGATTGAGCATTGGCCTAGGATCCAGGAGGTCGCGGTTTGATTCCTGGTCAGGGCACATGCCCGGGTTGCGGGCTCGATCCCAGCATCCTCCAAGATGGGCTCTTTGACCCTCAGTTCCCCACAAGGGGAGGTAAATAAAAGGGTCTGTGATCAACTAAGTTGCGNCATCCTCCAAGATGGGCTCTTTGACCCTCAGTTCCCCACAAGGGGAGGTAAATAAAAGGGTCTGTGATCAACTAAGTTGCGGGGACACCAGGTTAAACAAAGTTAAAGAGGGTTTTATTCTGTTTTGTTTGTTCTTTCTGTTTTGGTCCTGAGTTTATGGGGTCATGGCACCCTGCGTTTCCTTAGAGTTCCTTGGGGTGCGAATGTTGAGTAGAACACACTCGGAGACACTGGAGGGCAGAGCAGAAACCTCCAGCAGCAGCCCAGGAGAGGAGATGGAACTA